GGGGGGGGGGGGGGGGGGGGGGGGGGGGGGGGGGGGGGGGGGGGGGGGGGGGGGGGGGGGGGGGGGGGGGGGGGGGGAGGTTACGCCAACAACTCACTGCAAAGACTTGGCCTTCGACTACTACTGCGGTATTATCTCGAAAGGAAGGGTAGTATCTCTTTGATTGGACGTATAATCTCTCGGCTGGAAAAACTTCCCCAGTAGGACGGACAGGTGAAGTTACTGGACAGAGATACGTAGAGAACCGTTTCTATTGTGAAGACAACAACAACGACAACAACACCAACAACACGTGATATCCTCTGCACCGGAACACCCACCCGCCCGCCCTCCCGCCCGCCCGCAATCTCGCAGGTTCTTCTTGCAAGCGCAGAACGGGGACAAGGCGGAGGCGTACCTGAGGAACGGGACCCTGTCATTGATGCCCGAGCACGGCGACGCGCTGGCCGACCTGGCGGTGGCGATGGCCATGCAGGGCAAGGAGAATCCGGCCAAGCTTGAGCAGGCGGTGATAATGATCGAGAAGGCCGAGAAAAACGGGGCTTCGGGAAAGAGCTTTGAGAACCGCCGGTGGGAATCTACAGTATAAAGTCGGGTTTTTTTTGTTTGTTGAGTAGACACCGGAATGGCTTTTCAAATGTAAAGACAACATCAACATGTAAAAGAGTCGTGGATTAGATGTTGGCGAGGGTTGAGTGTTTTTGGTCCCGGGAACGCCGGCAAGGTGTTTTTGATCAGCTGAACTTTTTGTGTTTCTCTCTGTGGCCGGTTTTTATAGCGTAGATCCCTCTTGGTAGCTGCGGACTGAGACCACTTTGTGGCAGGAGGGGGGGGGGGGGGGAATGGGGGGTACTCATAGTCGTGCATGCCGTAGTCGTTAGACCATTGACCTCGCATCCCTACNGGGGGGGGGGGGGGGGGGGGGGGGGGGGGGGGGGGGGGGGGGGGGGGGGGGGGGGGGGGGGGGGGGCATTCAGTCATGGGTGTAAAACAGTTGATTTTGCTGTTAGTCCGTCGCTGTCGAAACCCCAACGATGCTGCGGTGTTTCTTGTACTTTCGTGTGTTTTATTTTTTTCGCTGCCGTAGAGGTCATTGTTTTACGGCCGATGAAGTCGCTTGGGACAGATGGAATATTCAAGCTGTCTCCTGCTGTAAACAATGCCTAGTGCCCGATATAAGGCCGACCTAATCCCTTGAACCACAGCGGCGTTAGTCAAGGGCCTCTTCCTGTAGTGCTGCTGTGGGATCTATGCTACCCTGACCTGCTGACCAACATCATCTTCTCCAAGGAAAAAAATACTGAATATGATTTCTAACCTGCGGGGCCCCCCCCCCCCCGTGTGTGTCCGTGCGTGTGTGTGTATTTCTCTGTGCATCGCCAGGGGGTTTGTGATCGGGCGGATGATGGACAGGGACAAGGAAGCTGAGGCGGCGGCTGAGGCTGGGGTCGAAGAGGCTGAGTTGACTGAAGAGTTGTGAAAGATGCCCGCCGCTGCTGAATGTATGGGCAGGGGGGGGGGCGATGATGATGCTGCCCCCTGCAAGATGATAGCAGCTGTAGTAAGAATATTGTAGTTTTTTGGGGGGGAATGCATTGCGGTCGGGGAATTCGGGTGGTAACATCGTTTGATTTGATTTCGGAATTATTGTTGCTTGTGGTTGGGTGGCGTTACGCGAGAACGAGCGGGGGGGCTGCTGCACGAGATACGTGCACAGGACGGGTGGGAGTGGTGCTGCCTGCCGATGAGGCGTTGCGGCACAACGTAGAGGAGGTGATTTCCGACTTGACCGCGGGGAAGTGGTATTTAGACGAGAGTTTTTTGCAGCCTCGCCTGTAGCTGGCGTGATTTCAATGCTGTGCGAGATGGCACACGCCTGGTGTCGGCCTTTTTAAGCGCGGCACCCTTACCTTCAAGTCTCGGGTGCTACACGACTCTCTGTCCCACTTGACGTCTTGCATCTGAGAAGTTGCGGGAAAACACATTGCGATTTTTTGAAACAGGGCAAAGAGTAAGTAACGCGCCAACATTGCTGGTTGAAAAGGACTGGTTGGAAGAGTTGAGAACAGCAACACGTCTGTCCATCCATCCAGTTCGCCGGGAGGATCACTGAAAGAAACCAAGAGGGAGCAGCACAAGAAAGCATAGTGCCCATCCACTCATGGAGGAACTGCCCATGATTGCGAGTGTGCGTAGGGCGGCAACAACGGCCAAAGCCCTGGTTGGAGCCAACCCATCAAGCGGAACGCACACACGTACTACCAAGGTTTTTTCAATTTCACTAGACCATATCCTTGTAGAGTACCATAGGTTGTCCCAGCAAGGCTGCTACTGTGCACCGGCTGCGCCGGAGCAAACCAGGCTACATTTTCTCTCGCTCCGGTCTTCTGTTCACCCTCGGGCACACACACTAAGCGTGGAAGGGAGTCTACAGCAGTTGTAGGCGTTGTCAAGAACAAGCATCCATCCGGCGTTAGCAGACCGCTGCTTAGCTGAGGTAGGACTATAATTGAACCATACACGGGGTTGGGAAGGAGATGCGGAAGAGGTGGGCGATATCACGAGCTCGGCCAGCCCCTGGTTGTTGAACTTCGAATCGTACCGCAATCTCTACACGTTTATTTCTCGCGTTTCGCTTTTGTTCCACACGTCATGCTAGTTTACTGAAAGCAACTTCTGGTACATACTTGGAGACAAATGACTAAGCCCGCCTCGCGAACCACGTTGAAGGAGGCATGAATACGTCAGTGTCGTGCGGGTGTGTGTGTATTTGTCCCATTTACTCTGGCTCCAGTCACCACACACCTCTCGGACTACGTGTTTGACGCTTGTATCAGTCGGGGACACACACGAACGAGGAAAGGTCACACGATGCTCTTTCATTCTTCCCTATTGCACGGAAGTACAGATCAAGAGGTTTTGGTCGCGCAATGTTATGCCGTTCTCGCGGCCCGCCCGCCCGGCTTCCGCCTCCACCGCGGCCACCGCTTCGAAAAACGTCCGCGTCCGCGCGAGCTCGGCGATGCACACTCTCGCACCTTGCCACGGCAGGCAAGCGGCGGCGGCTGCTGCCGATGATGTTGTAGTAGGTGCCGGAGAGCCAGCAGGGTTAGTGCCGGGCAGCTGGCCAGCGCTTGGGATGGCTTGGCGCGTCCTGAACGGGCTGTTCAGGGCGGACCTGGGACGTTGTTGTCAGTTGTTTGACGGACAATTATCAGCTTTATCGTGGCCTGAAATCCAATGGAGGAATTCGCGTAGTAGTCCGAATACGCTGTGCCAATACGATTCGCGTATGGATAAAACCAAGAAGAACAACGTTGGTTACCTCTGCACACATTAACAATAAAACTCGGCTGGTGCGGCCAGGATTTTCGTGCAGTGATTCTCAGGGAAAAACCTCGTCTAACACCCTCCCAAAAAATATCGCGTCTTTATCCCCCCTCCCAGGTGCTCAATCCCCGTCGGTCGTGCTTGACTTGTCTCACTTGACTGACGCCACGCCGAGCACAAGAGCGCGGAAGTCTTCGCCCGACGTCGCCCTGAGTATCCCAAACGGCTGAGCCTCTTCCGTCACTGGTGGTTCCCCCCTTCGTCCCGTGCGGCCGCAGCCAGCGGGTAGACTTTCCTGTGAGCAAGGATCGTCCCCCGCCGGCGGCGGCCCTCCCGCCGCCGCCGCCAAGATGACAAAACGAAGAGACTCTCCTTCCCCGCTGCCCGGCAGACACATTACCCGCGTAAGGCTCGCCAGGGGGAGGGGAGGCGCCAATGTCGAGGCCGATGGGCCGCAGCGAGCGGGGTCGCCGCTCGTGACGGCGGTCTGTCCTGTCGTTGCACCACCGGCCGGTGCGGCCGCCGCCGCCGCCGCCGCCTCGTGCGGTGCGCCAAGGTCGCGGAGGGCGAGGGTTGCCGCGGTGCTGCCGTCGGCGGCGTTGTTTTTCGCGGCCTGGAAGATTAGGGTGCAGCGAATGTCGTTGTCGGTCCCACCACTCACGCCTGGTCGTAAAACCTGCGGGGGGGGGGGGGG